GGCATAATGCACCTGAGTGAGTATTTTCAATTTTACGTTTAGTACCACGTGATTCTGTATTAAGGGTTTCATTATAGGTGGTCACAATATCAAGTAAATACTGATTATCATAAATCAAAAGTGAACCAGTTCCAACAATATATGAATTAAAAGACAAACTAAATTTATTGTTTCCAAATGAACACAAATAACCTAATTTGTCCAAATAAGAAACTGAAACCAAATTCCATCTAAATGACAGCACAATAAAAGTGTCTTTCAAATCCAAATAAAAAATCAGTACTCAAAAACAATTTAAAATGCCCTATAGCTTCCACCTCTACCGATTTTCCATCTCCAACATAAATTCATCTTTCAGAATCAATTGGCTTCCGGTAGTTTAGGCAACCCTTTATTTTCACGTCAAGCATGATATTTAGCACATTTCTTCTTTACGTGTCCAGTCTTATTGCAAAAGAAACATTTGTTTTCTTGAGTTTGTTTCTTTTGTTCTAGACCCTTAGTAGCTTCTTTCTCGAGATCCTCTGATATCTTTCTTTTTCCCTTAGCCTTGGAGGTGCTTGCAAAATGAGCATTTTCTGTCTTGTCTTGCTTTAGGCTTTCCTCTTCTTGTACGCAATGTGAAATAAGCCTATTAAGAGACCATTTATCCTTCTGAAAGTTGTAAGATACCTTAAATTGATTAAACGTTGCAGGAAGAGATATCAACACCAAATGAATGAGCAAGTCTTCTGAGAGTTCAAGCTTTAGTGCCTTGAGTTTAAAAACAATATTAGACATGCTCATAATGTACTTCCTGATATTTCCTTTGCCCTGATATTTCATGGAGATCAAGTTCTGAAGAAGAGTGTTTGCCTCCGCCTCATTGCTTTTTGCAAAGCGCTGCTTAATTTCAGCAAGAAATTCTTTGACACTTGTGATGTTTTCAGAAACAGTGCTCCTAAACACCTCCGGGATGTCGCGCTTAATGATCATTAGACTCATGATATTTGAGCGATCTCACTTCTCATAATCTCTTTTCTGTTCAGAGGTACTTGAATCCGTAGGGGTAGGAGGTTGTTCAGTCCTTAACGCAAGATCCATATCCATGCAACCAAGAATAATATTAATGTTCTCTTTCCAGTCCTTAAAATTTGTTCCATTGAGGACCAGAACATAATTTAAATTGGCAGATACAGAAGCAATTGTAGCTCAATTTAGAACACGAGAAATAAACTAATTATGCTCAAATTATATAAAAAATAAATAATATATATTCAAATAGTGGTTTAACCTATCTCAAGACACCCAATGCACCATCAATATCAAGTCTTTGGACAGTAATATTAACTGCTAAAGGTATCTTATTGTAATAATCAAACATTGACAATAAAGCACGTCCAACAACAAATCAGTCTTTGGATTGATTTATCATCGACAAAGCAAATCCTTATAATTATCACATGTTTATCATTACAAGTGTGTATGCAATTCGGCTAAATATTAATCTTCCTTTGGGCCGACTAATACTCGCATGAATATACACAAACACTAACATTCAATATTTTTCATTAACTGCCCAATTCAAGAGAGGTTACTTTGGTGACTTCTTGACTCAATTTGCTCACAAAAAATATTAAACTTCCAAAAAATTGAATATTTTATTTATATAACAAAACCAAATATTTAATATTTGCAAACTAATTAAAAAGAGAATCACCTCATTAGAATTCTACTAAGGATGAACACCTCCCTAGAATCTCATTAGGGATGAACACCTCATTTGAACAAATCAAAGGATGAAAAAAGGCTCATTTTCCACCAATACATAAAGGATGAACATCTCCCTAAAATCTCATTAGGGATGAACACCTCATTTGAACAAATCAAAGGATGAAAAAAGACCTCATTTTCCACCAATACATAAAGGATTAACATCTCCCTAAAATCACACTAGAGATGAAACAGAGATAGTTCTGAGTCTCTTTAGCATACTGCTCTAAACCCTAAAAGGGGATTAAACAGTAATCATTCAAACCCTAAACAGGGGAATTTAACATCAAATTTTCCTAAAGGCAATAAAATAAGAACAGTCACATCTGTGGAAACATTCACCATTTACCTAAGATTCTCTGTGTTGGGAACTCCACAAACACCACCCCCAATTCCAAACCCATAAAATTAAATAAAAACAAAAGATTAAAAAAAAGAACAGAGAACCCAATACAAGAAAAATTGAAATATGAAACACTGTATCTTTCTCAATAAAACTTGAAACTTAAATTGAAACAAAAGGGAAAAACGAAGAAGAAGAAGAAGAAGAATCCATAGTTTCCTCCACGGTTCCATCAACAAGCAGAATCAGATTGGGGATGTTACCCCCAAATTCAAATTTTAGGGTTCACGAAAATTAGAGATTATTCTCCACTTAGGGTTCATAAAATTGGGTAATTTGAATTGTTTAAAACAAAATTAATCATAATTTTCATAATTAGGGTTCTATAAATTAAACAGAGACATGAATCAAATATGGGCGACTCCGATACCAATTGTTGGAAAATTAATAATAATAATAATAATAATAATAATAATAATAATAATAATAATAATAATCCTGATTTTGATTCTAACGATCAAACATAAACATAATCTCATACTTGATAAACATGTTGTAAACCTGAATGTGAAAGCGTACACTGAATTAGCCATAATGATGATGTCTTTGTAGAGCACTATATTGATCTTATAGTCTTCCACCTGAAGAGCACATGTATTTCCCTCTTGATTTTCTCTCTTGATGGGGATAGAAAGAAAGGAACGGGACTGCTACTTACGTTCTGTGTGTGTGCTCCCAGAAGGGGACCATGACCCTTTAGATAACCAGAATTAGGTTAATTACTTAAGTTTTAGTATTTCCAATTTGGCCCCTCATCAAATTAGAAATTTCTCTATGGTCTCTACACAATTTTATTTTCATGACATATGTCTTTAGCCAAAACTTTAATTTAGTCAGATCACTTTATTATTTGGCTTAATAAATAATGACCCTAACACATTTAAATTATGTATCATGTATATACATGACCCAAATTTTACCAACATAAATAATAGTACTTGACTGATTGTGGACACCAACCCTCCGACTCAGTCTAGTCAATACATAACATTTCATGACTGATTATGGGCATCAGCCCTTAGACTCAGTCTGACCCACACACGTCACAACACACTTATTGTATCTTTAAAATTGCTACCTTCATTCTACATTTTAAATATATATATATATATATATATATATATATATATATATATATATATATATATATATCTTCTTCTTCTTTTTTTTTCAAAATCATTTCGAAATCATTTCCAAAATCTTTTCCGATATCATTAAATTACTATTTTACCCTTAATCTTTTCTAAAAATTTCATGTATGTCCCTAAATGACTATTTTACCCTTAGACATTTTCGAAAATTTCTTCCATGTCCCAAAAATGACTATTTTACCCTTGAACATTTTCAAAAATTCCTTCCATGTCCCAAAAATAACTATTTTACTCTTGAACATTTTTGAAAATTTCTTCCATATCCCTTTCTTCTTCCTCGCGGCATTAACAATTTTAAATTTTGCAGATTTTAGCAGATTTCAAATTACTCAGCTTTTAGACAACCAAACTAGTCCCAAATTCAAATTAAACATGACTTATATCTAATTTAAGTTGAAAACAACAATTTTACCATATAATTCATCCTTAATTTCAATAATTCCAACAAAATTTCAAGTTTTGCAAAACATGAGAAATCTTCAAAATCAATCATTTTAATGTTCAGATTTCCACTTCTATTCCTTATTCACAAAGTACTAAACAATTCAGTCTCATATATTGAATGAATTAAATTTTCTCTTACCTGGTGTGGTATTTTTACTTGAAGTTTTCCCACTTAATTCGAGCTCTCTCCCGCTTTACCAGATCCTGCACAAGTAAAGTCTCGTTATTTGAAATTTAAACAAAATAAGAAGAATGATGAGAGGAAGAACTACTTGTTGATGTCTCCTCCTCATGCACATATATAAAAGAAAAATTGTACTGTACATGAGAAAAATGTTACTGTGTATGACAAAAATTTCGTTATGAAATTTTCTTGCATAGTAGTATTATTATGATATATAAAAAAACATACCTCACAAATTTCACAAAATATAAATTATAACAAATGTAATTTACTCTTTAAATATCATAATTAGGAATATCTAAAACATTTACATAATCTGGTTACGTTTTAACATATTTAGAAATTAACAATTTAAAATGATTCAATAAAATTAAGCTTAATTAACTTTTTGCGTTCCTCCTCTTTAGAAATGAAGTAAAAAACCATGCTATTATTACTTTCTTGAGAGCGAAGAGTAATGAAAAATAATTTTTCAAATAAAGTCTTATTTTTCAACCTCACAGTCTCGAACATATATATTTTATTTTATGAAAATACTCTTAATTTTATATCTTTTCCGTCTCAACTAAAAAGATTCTCAAGCATACATTCTCATCAATAAGTTAAGCAGAAAGACAATCGTACAACTTTCTGTTTTAATTGCTATTTTAGTTTATAAATGTATAAATTATATTTTAGATTTATAGTAAATAAGTTATATTGTATCACTATGTTATTTGTAGTTATTAATTTTTTAAGAATAATTTATAAATAAAGGCGAAAAGAGTAATTTAGAAAAGGTTAAGAAAATTTACAATGTTATAGTAAAAATTTTAGGTTTTTTATTTCCTATATTCTTCATGAGTTGCTCTTCAAAGCGCCGCCTTTATTGGACTTCTCACGTGAATCCACCACCACTTATAATTGGCTAGATCACAACGCAGTGTTTTATTATAAAGAACAAAAGTAAAAAAACTAGCCTCATCAACCACTTGCAATAATTCACAATTCTGCATAATCTGCGTACACAACTACATTTTATTTGGAAAAGGTGTAAAAGACCATCTTTTTTATCCACGATACACCGTCACAAACCATAAATGCCAATGAAAGGCATCAGCACAGATGCAATCCAAAGCTTCCCATCTTTCTCTTCCACTTCGCTGATGAACTTTAAGGCCTTCCCTTCACAGTCTTCCAAGACTTCTAGAATCTCTCCTCTGTCACTTAGCTTTACAGCAACAGCATGAGGCTTCCACCCTGCAAATGATGAGTGCAGCTGTTTGAAGTTAAATCCAATCTTTAGCAATGCCTTTCCCGCCCAGGGATTGGAAGAAATCCACTTCGCGAAAGGACTTCCCTTTGCATGCAGAGCTACCCAGAAATGCCCTTCGGAATTTCTTCTAACATTGTCTGGAAAACCGGGTAATTCGGCAAAAGTATCCACTTGACCAGCCTTAGGTCCACGAAGCCAAAGTTGCAAGATCTTGCAAGTAGTGGTTTCTGCTACCAGAAGAAACGATAAGCAAGGTCACGTGATAAGACCTTCACTTCTTTTGTTTACTTGTGATGAAGGATTAAAAATAATTGTTAATTCTATTTTTATTACTTTCAACTAATTAAATAAAAATTCATTTATTAAATTTTTTTTATAAACTATATATTTCATATTTATTAATATTTTAAAATAATAATTTTAAAAAATTAAATATTTAAATACAATATTTATAATATATAATAATAATAATAATAAAATAAGTATTTTATTTCTTTATAAAGCAAAAATAATTAACAGATTTTTTTTGCATATATATATATATATATATATATATATTTTAACATAAATATAATAAATTAAAGTATTTACTTAATTAATAATAATGATAATTAAAAATTATAAAATTATAAATATTTATTTATATATAAAAATATTAAAATTAATTTATTATAAATATAAGTATTTTTTTAAAATAATATAAAACAAAAATAAATCAAATGAAAAAATCAAAATTCAAAAGAGACGGTTAAAAAAAATTGAGAACAGGGATTAGGGAGACAAAACATGTCTCGTCCCGTTATTATGCTACATGTTCAAAATTAATATTAAAAAATTTATCTATATCAACTTTTTGTTGGACAAAAATTTATGACCATAAGACCTAACAAAATATAATGGTATCAATATAATAATATCAAAGATAAATTGTTTTTTAACTTCAATACGAAAAGGGGAAAAACTCTTCCTCAATTAAATAAAATTCACATGTTATTATAAGTGATGGTTAGCTAAATACTTCCTTAGTCATAGTTCAATTATTGTCACCCTCATCTGTAGTCAAAGTTAATTTTCATGTTGTAATGTATTTAATTTTGATTATAGATTTTGAGTGACAAGAGTTTTGGCAAAATAATTATTTTATTTAACATGTATATTTATTGACGTTTGAAGTCATTTTTTAATATGATAAAAAATAAAAATCTCAACATTTTGAATAGTCGGGGACAAAATACTTAAAAATGGATAAAATTAGCAAGATAAAGAATAAGTAAAACGTGAAATCAAGAAAAGTTGTTTTTTATACTTTCTTTATGTTACCAAACTAAACAATTCGGTGTACTTTACTCAACAAATATAACAAATCCATCTAAATTTTTTTAAAATTATTAATGGACTGATTATTTATAAATATTTATTGATGTTAAGTAAGAAGCAAGTGGATAACGAAACACGGATTAAAATTTAAAAGGAAAATAACATTTACAGTAATATATTTCACAAAAATTCTATTCTGGTCCTTCCTTTAGTCAGCGTACTGAAAGTGGTTGTTGTTGTTGTCGTCGTTGAGAAGCACACAGAAAAGAGAAGTGAAGAGAAAAATGGCGTCATCGCGTCCCCCACCGTCGAAATCAGTGGATCTGGACCTCACCATCGTGGCGGCGAAGCACCTCAAGAACGTCAACTGGAAGAACGGGGATCTGAAGCCCTACGTCGTTTTTTGGGTGGACCCCGAGCGCCGTCTGGCCACCAAATCCGACGACTCCGGCAACACCTCCCCTGTCTGGAACGAGCGCTTCGCCCTCCCACTCCCTCTCCCCCTCCACGAATCCTTCCTCACCCTCGAGATCTTCCACTCCAAACCCTCCGACACTCCCAAACCCATCGTCGCCACCCTCCGCCTCCCCCTCAAGGACCTACACGACCTCCACGACTCCACGCGCCTCCGAAAGTTCCCCCTCTCCCGCCCCTCCGGCCGCCCCCACGGCAAGATCCACCTCAAACTGGGCCTTCTTGGCCGCCCCCAATTCCAATCCCTCGATTACCTCAACCCCAACCCCAACCCCAGTCCTAACCCTAATTTCGTGTTCTACAGGGGATATTCTCATTCCCATTCCCCTTCTCCACCACCCTCCCCATACCCTTCGTACACCTCTTACCCCGATTCATATAATTCTTCTTACTATCCCGGTTACTATTCTGGTGCTGCTCCTCCTCCTCCTCCGAGACCCTTCTTCGACCGTTACGCTGGGCCCAGTGGGCCTTCCGCTCCGCTTGATTATTCAACCTGCTACGAACCCAAGCCCAAGCCTCCCAAAATGGGCCTCGGCACTGGCCTCGCTGCTGTTGCTGGAGCTCTCGGTGGGCTTGTTCTAGAAGAGGGGCTCAAATACGAAGAGGACAAAATCGCGGAGAGGGTCGAGAACGACGTCGCTGCTAGTGCTGCGCGCGACGATTACAGCGATTATCGAGTGGATTACTGAACCAAACAATTCCGACTGGCTTGTGTTATATTGAGGTCCGAAAATTCATAAGCTATTTGGTTTCGGATTCGCTCTAATACTTTTTCAGTATATATTATAGATATATATAATTATTATATCTCTATGTATATAATTTGACTTGGTGTTGGATTGATGAATGCATCGGTGTTGTTTTACTTGCTGATTGTCGTGATTTGGTACTGTTCTTGCGGCTTTTTATAGTTGAAGTGAAATAAAGCTGGTTTCATCTTATCATGGCAACGATTTTCTTTTGTTTATATTCAGATTTTCGACGTAGTTGTGTTAATTACAAATGTAGCGTTATGTGTAGCGGATAGGCTTGTTTTATCAATGAAAAACCTAACAGAGCAATATGGCGTGATTTGCTTTCAAACGACTGTAAATTGGTTGACCTGTAGTGTGAGACTTAATAATTACTAGTCCAATCTAGAGATATATGGATCACCACGCCCTATCAAAACTTTCAACCACATGGGTTGGCTCACACTAGTAGCAAGCCAAAATTAAGCTAACCTAGCTGGGTCTCACCGTAATAATAATAAAAAAACATTACATTTAAATAAAAAAAGATTAAAAAAACTAATAAAAAGCATAAAACAGCTAATTAAGAAAGGGCCAGTAATGACTAAAGTAATATAATTCAACTACATGCCAAATTTCCTATTTATTTCGTCATAATTAACTAACCTCATAAAAGAGTGCCCACTCGTAGTAGACCTACGTTACTAGGTAGCTACAGTGTTGTGAAATCGACAGCTTATTCATCTGATTAACAATACATCATTGTTCATGTTTACGTCTATTAATATCAAAAGTTACAAGTAGTATGAATTACATTTGAAAAACTAAGGATAAGTACCTTAACCTTGAATACCTACGCATCATAGATTTATAAGTCATGTGGTAATAACGCTGAATAAGAACTCAATGAATGGTAAGGGTGGGTGAGCATGGGTTGAATTTTTAAACATTGTAGTAGCCGGACTTGAACAGGAGACCATCAATGTGTTGGACCTTCATTGCATATTTTACAAAATGAACTGAGTTCTTTTGCAAATAAACTCATGCAGATATATCATGAAAATTAGAACTTCTTGCAAACAATTACAGTCTAGATAAAAATGTTTTTAAATTCGTCACTAAACAATCAAAGCATTAATTCAATAAAAAAATCAGTCAAATTTAATAAAATAATATAAGTATTTAATAAACTTATTATTAATAATTTTTTAAAAGAAAAAAAAATTATAACAAGTTATTATCATAAATAAGTATCATAATCATTATAAATTACAATAAAAAAATTGTCGAAAAGATTATTAAAATGTATATTTTATTTTACCAAAAACTATTTGACTAAAAATCTAATCATTTTTTTAATTTTATGTCTATATAATGAAAAATCTGATTTTTGAAAAGAAAAAACAAATTAGAATTCCTATTAAACATTCAAGTCCAATTTTGAAAACAATGGTAGATAATTTACCATTGCACTTCACAGATACTTAAAACATTGGCAGGTCATCCCCATTCGCCCATAGTTCAATTTTCTCCATAAATTATATCATGCATGATTCCATCCGGGTTGCAACTCAACACAGTGAACAGAATTCCGCAGATGCAGGTAAAGTAAAGACCAGCAAAAATTACAAGGGCAACTATTCATTTCTCATATCTTTTTGTTCATAATATAAAATTTTTTAACTGCCCATACCAAAACTACTAAACAAAAGAAAATGGGCTACGTATCGAAGAGTAAACTACATGGAGCACAGGAACAACATAAATGGATCATTAAGCTCCGACCAACACAATCCATCAAAACTTTATGCAGCTACACTCGGCACTGTAACTGATTTCGAGTCTTCTGCCCGTTCATGCTCTTTGTTGAGCATCTGAAATCACATTCCAATAAATAAAGACGATGATAAATGAACAACCTCTTTTGAATAAAAAATCTAATAGACACCTCTATATATTAATATAATAATCATGAATAGATAAAAAATAATATATTATTAAATGGAGTTGTGTAATAATTGTTTTCAAAATGAGGGTTGTCTATCAAACTTTTTCCTATACATACAACATACAGACATGAAACACAGTATATAGTGAAGATTTAGTATCATCTTTTACCCGAACAAACTTAATCATCATTCATAATATACATATAATCTATGTACCCAAGGTGCAAGTGTTCATTAGTTTGGATCAATCCAAGAATCCAGACTGAACCAATTAAATTGGTTTGTATTTTTAACCTAATTGAATTCAATTTGAATAAAACTAATCAAACTCAATGGTGATAATTTGGTTATTTTTAACCTAATTGAATCCAACCTGAACCAAACCAATATCATAAATTTCTTAATAATAATTATGCATGGAATTTTATAGTACAACTTTTTTTTTTGTGTGTGAATTGCTAATATTTAGTTAAAGTTAATTAAAATAAAATATGTAGTTCACACATTATGTATGAATTCTTTCGACAAAATAATGTATTTTCTATTTTTGAAATATTTTTTGCACATTTGCATAGAAGTGAACTTAATTGATCCATAACAACTAACTTTTAGTTTGAATTGTGCAATTAAAAAATAAAAATAAATCAAACCAATAAAAATTAATTAGTTTGGATTTCATTTTCCTCAAATCCAAAAATCCAAGCAACACATGAACACCCCTTAAGCTCATCAAGTGCCTAGTTTATCAAACACAAAACTTGAATATACAAATGGGCACAAATCTTATCTCCAAAACTTGCCATTACTATTTTCAGAACATGATAAAAAATCACAAAGTAAAATATACTTGGAGCAAAATTTAGGGTAGTGTATCTAACCTTGTTGTTAATCAAGTTGTGGAGTGCAATTACACATCTAATGAGAGATGACAGGTATATTACCAGCATCATATCATTTGTTTTCACTACACAAAAAAGATCAACAATTTAAAAGAGATATATAGAAAAATATGATATTGAAAAAAGCAAGTCACAAATTATAACCTGCAAACGCCTTGATAAGATCAGCAACATTCAGATTGGGTAGCAGGTTAAACACGTCCTGAAAAATTGCAATTAGAAATGAAATGGTGAGAAAGAATAATGTAGCAAAAGAAAAAAATACGTTTATTATTCCAAGTAATTTTGCGTTCCCACCATTAATCTCACATCACATCTTTTACAAGATTTTTACAAACGGTTCTAAATTAAACTAAGAAATAGCAGAAAGCACTTAATCAAGATCCTTGAACCAATTGATAACAAAGCCAAATAATCGGCCATTTACTAAGCAAGAATATGAGAAACAAACCTGCAGATGGTACAGGATCTCATGGTTTAATGGAAGCTTTCCATCAATAACAAGGTCAAGGTAACTCCTTATCTCTTTAAGTCTTGCATCCAAACCCTTCAAGGCTGTAAGTTTTGCACTAACCTAAGTAAAAATTACATTGTCAACACTGGGCATCAAATCTTTTGCATAAAAGAACCAGAAAAGTATTACAGTGAAAAAAAAAT